AAGGAAAAATAAGATCATAAACTCTTTTTTTATCAACATGAAGTTTACATTTTAACATCGAAAAGAAAAAAAAGAAAAAAAAAAAGAAAAAACATTTCATCTAAAAATTGCATACCCATGAAACACTCTTAATCACATTTCTCATTCTTAACATTTTGTATTTTTCTTTCTTCAAATGTCATGGAAACCATATTTAAGTGAAAAAATACAATTATATCAACACTAACATTTTAAACAATCAATAAATTTTGTGACTTTGAATGAAAGGAGTTGTATTTTATATCTCTTCAGATTATGTTTCACATATTTGGGTATGAATGTGTTGTTTATTTGAATCATGATGGCATCACACTTACACATCTGATAGTTGGTATATGGTGATAAATACTATTTATTTAAAAATGTAACAGACTATGTTTGTATTGCTGTCTGCTATGAGTTAACATTTCTTACATGGTAGCAAGAGAGAGAGAGAGAGAGATTTGGAGAGGGAACAACCAAATTCAGTGGCAGAATGTGCACCCAGCAGTGATTGTCAGTAAAACTGCTTTGAAGAGGGGCTTGGAACATGGAGCCCTCACTGATGGAAGTTAATGAATCCGTTGTCCTGGACTTCAGATACATATTTATTTATATTTGTTGTATTTTTATCTGATATACCTCATTTTTATGTGTCCCACGGATGTTTGTTTAGTTTTTAGTTTGTTAGTTTCTTTAGATTTATTTTTTATTTTTTTATTTTTTTAAAAATTGATTCATAAATGTAACAACATGGTGTATTGTGAAGTGTTTTGCATTGTCTACTGGGAATGAAGCACACAGATACTATTTTTTATTGGTTTTAAAAATATCTATAGAGCCTGGCAGTATCTACTGGTTGTGTAGGTCTGATGTAGAACTTGGGATTCTGTAATGATAGAATAAAACTCATCGTATAACTGAACACATACTAAACATATTATTTTGGAAAATTGAGAAAACGCTTGCACACAATAATTTGGATCCGTTCATTCTTCTTTCAAGCATAAAAGTTAGATGTCACTAGCATCCAATTCCCCCAAAAAAATTTAAAATTACATATTCATGTGTATAATTGCAATACAGTGTTGCATATTTGTGTCCTGCGTGGCATGTTTAGCACACAACAAGAATATAAAAAGAGAAAGCACAAGTTGTATTTTTTAAAAAATGAAGATAAAAACTAAACTTTTAATATTTTTGTACCCTATTTAATAACACGATGAATGACTTTGGTCAACAGATTTCTCAGAGCAGGATTGCTGCAGAGATTCTGGGAGCTACACTACACAGTACCCATGAAGTCCCTTTGTAACTCTCATTGATTTTTATCAACCCCTATCAAAAAAATAACACCCAACAACTTGTGGGACACCCCAGTGCCTCCCTCGTTCTCTCGAGGGTATCAACCTGGATTAGTACCGGGTATGTTCCCGGTTATCACACCTCCACGCAACGACGGGTATGGAATCTTCAGACAGGCATTGTTGCTGCTGGGTCGCTTCTCAAGTTTTGAGTGGCTCCTTCTTTTTAAACCCAACCCCAATCCCCCACTTTTCCTTTCCTTTTTTTGCCTTTTGCTTCAGTGAGAAGGATGGATGGAGATGGCAAAGATGCCAATTAGGTCACAACCTCCCATGGTGGCACCGAACATGACTGCCCCTTTTGTCAGAGACACACATACAAGGCAAGTTCAATAACATTGATGAGGTGATGTTATGTCCCACAACAGTGAAAGTTGTCTATGAGTATTTATTATTTGAGGAGGTAGGGGACCATGTTTGGGGTGGTGGAATCTCTCCCCACCAGAATTATACATATCCGGAGAAATATGAATGGGGCTCAGAAAAGAAGCCTGTTGAGTGAGGATTACCATGTATGCACATGTGGGTGAACAATGATAGAATACTGGTGGAATCTTTCAACTTAGTATTTTTATCTGCATGAAATATTTTTTTTAGGGGAAGGGGAAAAAGATTAAAAAAATGTCAAAAAGAAGTATCAGCATTACAGGCTGTTGTCAAGTTGCTTCATTTGTGCATTTTTCAATTTGATGGTTTTATTTCTTCAGAACATGTTGACAGTTCACAATGCAATTGTGGAATCCCAAACTTTCTCCATAAAAAATAGCTCATGAACATTCTTATTGTTCAGGATGTTTACTTGATATTTACTTGATAATTACTTACTGTTATTACATGCATAAACATAGGATATATGTATCAAGTAAATATATTATTGGGTTTTGTGCAAGTAATAACCACACCAAAGTAAAACTTGTACTTTGGTTTCAGGCCAAAACATGGGCTCAGAAACCCAAATGAGAAAATTTGATGGGATAGGAGAATGTGTGCAAGCCAAAGGACAGAAAATAAAGTGCAACACTCTTTTAACTTTTTTAGCATGGTCAACCGTGGTTGACTTTTGAGAATCAACCGAAGAGTACGAGATTTTCAGTTCATGTTTACCGCTCACACCTTTTGCTTTTTTTGGGAGGGGGATGACAGGCTGTCCAACCCTAATGCTATAAGTCAGCAGCACAATGGAGGGCATCACTGAAGCCAATGGTTCTGACTGTCCCCACAACCCAATTTTTCCTGACATAGTGAGAGTGAGCAAAAGCCTTTTTTAAAAATCTATCTTTATGCTCTGCCCACTTCCTTCAGTATTGAAGCTCCAGAGCATGGCAGTTTCATTTTCCTGATTCACCCAACAAGATTGGAATTATTATATCAAACACTGCGTAAATTGTATGGCTCCAAATCTGACCTTTACAAAGTACAATTTTACATATACTGGGGGATCTCTGGAGACTACTGAAGGCTTGTTGCTAGGGAGATTTTTATTTATTTATTTATCTACTTATTTTCCTCCTTTTCAAAAGTAAATAATCAACAGTTGGAAATTGAAATCCCATGGACAGGGGCAGAGCTCATCATTATTCTCACTGTAAAATAAATACAAAAGAAGGGAATAATAAACTTGAAATGGGGTTCCTGTAGGAATAGTACTGGCAGGGAGCATGTGCCAATAATTCACAACTCATGGGTGCTGAAGAAGGTTCCCACTTTTGCCCCACCCCAATGACCCTTTCGTAACAACATAGAAGCTGTAGTTTTTACGATTAGGTTCAAATTGCAAAACTAAGCCCAGCTAATAATTCAAAGCCATTGAGAACTTGTATCAGCTCCACTGTCTTTTACAATAAGAGTGGAGACCTTTCTCATAATTATTATTTTGATAATCGTTTTTAATAAAATTCGATTTCTTTCACGAAATTAAAAGAGCATGACATTACACAACTCATTTATTGTTTATATTATCATCATTATTTCAGGCCAGCTCTTCATCAGTGGGCCATGTCAGGGTCAACTCTCGAAGCTCACAGGCTCTGACCTAGAGCTTTGGAAATGTTAGCTTCCTAAACGTGAATTACTATCGTTGTTATTATTGCTGTGTTGTTTTTTTCATTAAGTGAACGAATCACTCTGAAGACAGGCTGGGGCCATTGACCTTGACTTAATGTCTGAAGTAAACTACCACGTCCTGACATGTAGCATGGTAGAGAATTGGAAAAGCGAAGCTGCTTCTCGAATCATATGGATGAATTAAACCAAAAAATTGGAATACGGAAAAAATATAAACCAACTGCATCAGGAACACTGGGTAGCGATGAATTGCACACGTCAGAGTAGGAAAGAGGGTAGGGGAGGGATTTATCAGGCTTGTAAGATAGCAAAGGCGAGAGCACTAGCCAAGCAAGTAAGATAAAAAAGAACCGACAGAAGGGGCAGTGAAGGCTCACAGCAGCAGTAACAGCAACAGGACAGAGGAGAAGAGGAAGAAGAGGACCGACCCACCCGGTCACCCGGTCATAGCCACGGTTGCAGCCACCAAGGAGGGGAATGGACAGCTAGGGAAAGGAAACGAAAAAGGAGGGAGAGGAAAAAAAGAGAAAGAGAAAGATAGAAGACGATAGAGGGGTGCACAACGAGGCCGTGTGCATGGGTGGCAGGAAACTGAAACAGTAGTACAGTTGGATAGACGACGGCGACGGCGACGGCGAGGATACGGTGGAAGGAAGGAAGGAAGGAGGAGGAGGGGAGGGGAGAGGGAGAGAGTAGCGGTGGTGCAGCCGTGGGGTTGGCATCTTTCGCTACAGCTTCTACGGTAGCAAAATAAGTCGTCTCCCCTCGTCTGGCACTTCACTGTCTTCATTCATGCCCTTCCGCTTTCCTTTCCTTCGTTACTTACTTCCTTTCTCTTCATCTCGTCTCATCTCGTTTCGCATCGGGTCGGGTGGGGTTGGGCCCTGCTCTTGCGCATCCGTTTGTCGTCATCGTTGAAAGCCTGTTTTTGGAGCTTTCCATTCCCCTGCTTCTTCCCTCTCTTCTTTCTTCCCTCTCGTCCGCTGTAATCTAGTGAGTGACCACGGCATCGTCATTGTGGTAGATTCATCCCGTCGCTCTTTTTTTCTCATCCCCCGCTTGGTTTGGCTGGGCGGGGTGGTCTTGAGAATGAGGCACAGGGTGCTGTGCGCAGGGGTTGGCTTGCATACGGCGCAGGCACAGGCATGGACGAAGGGGGCGGAGGAGATGAATCGTCATATGGTGGCAGGGGCCGCGGTCCCGTCCTGTGGCTTGTGTCACTAGGGGCGGACGAAGAAGTAGGAGTAGTAGCAGCGTTCTTCCGTGGCAGTTCGGGCGGCGGTTGCAGGTGGTGGAGTAGGAAATCTCGTGTAGAGGCGCGGACGACGATGCAATTTGCCTCTGCCGTGGCAGTCAGGGCTCATAGAAAGGTAGTGAACGGGAACCACAGGGTGAGCTGGTGAGTGGAGGAATTGCTCTCGAGGTTTGTTGCAACGGCGCTCTCGTGTGCAGGAGGATCGTTAATCCTGGGCGCGGGCAGCGTGGAACATGATGCGCGAAAGGTGGACACATACGGCAGCTCAGGTTCGATATTCTCAGCTGTTACCAGTAGCGGCCTTGGTGCATCTCCCGTAGCCCTCCCTTCTGGGACGCTAGACGCCTCCCGCACTCCCACTGGGCTCCTCCCTGCTATAGTGAAGACGAAACAAGTAGAAGAGGAAATGACATTGTCCAACTTAACCAGCGCATCAGCTGGCGAGGCTAGTGTGTCTTCGGGCAACCATGCTGATGGCACCAATCCTGGGATGCCGCCGACACCGTCCACCCCGGCCACCCCCACTACCACCACCGTTACGGTGTCCAGTGGTCAGCCTCTCGGTGTACCTGTGAAACGCAAACGAAATCTGCCGGGCACTCCAGGTGCGCTTTCTCTCCCCGCTTCATCCTAGGGTACTGCCACCGCTTACGGTTCTCATTCGCGCTTCTCGAGGCACGGAAGTAGCTTTGGATTTTTCACTGCTGTTCTGTGTGAATATCATCACATTTCTACTCACTTTCCAGCATCTAAACGTTTCTATCGCCATTCTATTTGATGCCTCCGACGTCTCTATCCGCCATTCTATTTGAGTTGTCGTTCGCAAACATTCACTTGGCACTGTAGCTGACACCGTCCCTCCTGCCACGAGTCGACCTTGTACCGTCTTGTATTAATATATCGTCACGTGCACGTGACCTCCAGCTGGTCTACTGGATTTCATGCTTCTATTCTTTGGTGGAGTACTTGTTGATTGCGCATAGCTGTCGACAAAGTTCATGCTTCATTTTGCTAGTAGGATCTTTTTTGCTGATCAATCGAACTAATGTTTGTGACTAAATCAAATTAGCGCAGTTAATAGTCTATGATACTTCAGTACGCTAGAAGCTAACTGTTCTTGCCTTTTGTTTTGTTTTGTTTTTTTTCGTTCTTTGCATTTGTTTCCTTTTTCCTTTTTTCTCCTACCAAACACAACGCGTTGGAGGACGAATGGCAGAGCTTGTCATTCGATTTTTTTAAAAATTTTTGGTCATAAGATTCTGAAAGTCGTGAGCTTGGATCTTGTGTAAAGTTTGTGGAGTGATGAGTTCAATCTGGCAACCGTACTGGATGATTTGAATACGCAGACCCGGAAGCCGAGGTGATCGCGTTGTCACCAAAAACATTGATGGCCACGAATCGATTCGTGTGCGAAATTTGTAACAAGGGTTTTCAGCGCGACCAAAACTTGCAGTTACATCGGCGCGGCCACAACTTGCCGTGGAAGCTGCGGCAACGGACCAGCAAGGAGGTTCGCAAGCGCGTCTATATTTGCCCTGAGCCCTCTTGTGTGCATCACGACCCGTCGCGTGCTCTGGGCGACTTGACTGGTATTAAAAAACACTTTTGCCGAAAGCACGGTGAGAAGAAGTGGAAGTGTGACAAGTGCTCTAAGAGATACGCTGTTCAATCCGACTGGAAGGCCCACTCTAAGACGTGTGGTACTCGAGAGTACCGCTGCGATTGTGGTACCTTATTTTCCAGGTCAGTTCCTTCTCTTTGGTCCTTCGCAGTCCAAGGGTATATCTTACACAAGATCGTAAGGTAAACCATTTTTAGGTCAGTTGCGTCTCGCGGAAGCTGCTGTAACCGTCAAGCTAAATGTTGCACTGTGTTTCTGTTGATGATGTGCATCTCTAAATTCATGTTTACGTGTGATAAAACTGATGTTGGAATTCTGATAACTTTACAGGCGTGACAGTTTTATTACTCACCGAGCATTCTGCGATGCTCTGGCAGAGGAGAGTGCCCGAGTATCAGCAGGGAAGCAAGGTGGTGGACAACCTGATGGACTCACGGGCCCAGGTTCGTCATCCATGTCAGTCGTGGGTGCCCCTTCCTCTCCTCCGCACGGCAATAATGTGGGTCCTGTGAGTGGGGATCCTCTGGCTTCTGTGGTTCCATTAGCATCTAGATCTGGCGGTTTGCCGCCATCTATGGCGGGTTTGGGTGGCCTTAGTGAGCTACCTCGTTGGTGTGGAGCCCCCGGCGGCTCTGGTTCTGTCCCAAGGGCTGGCACTGGTTTATCGCTCTGGTTGGGACCTGATCCAGGTCCTCCCGGCAACCAGCAGCAGATGCATCAGCTATTGTCAGGGTCGGATGGCAATTCCTCGTTCCTACTGCAGGCTCAGAAAGGGATGCAGGGTGGTGCTGACCTGCCCGGAATTTTGAACCCACTTGACTATGATGTGCCACAGGCACCCCGACCTTCAAGTGGTCAGCTTCCCTTGACACCCTCCGGAAGCTTGCTTGCTCATCTGTTTGCATCTGGAAACGGACTGCAAGGATTCCAAGGATCCAGTCCATCTCAAAGTGGAGCTACTGCTGGAATGGGTATATCAGGATTCTCAGATTTTACTGGAGGTGCCTCTCGTATGGAGAGAGGGTTAACTGCCGCAGGGATGTCCCCAACTTCCTCCGCTGGATTAACGAGCAACTCCTCTTCTGGGAACACCAACAGTGGTGGTAATCTTTCCTCGGTGTCGCCACTTTTCAAAGCTCAGCAGCAACAGCAGCAGCACACTGCTTCTGCTCAGATGTCTGCAACTGCTCTGCTGCAGAAAGCTGCTCAAATGGGAGCAACCGCCAGCAACTCCTCTCTTTTGCGAGGATTTGGGTTAGGAGGTGCAGATTCAAACTCTTTGGGCATATGGCAAGGTCATCGTCAAGAGCAACAGCAGCAGCAGTCACAACAGTCGCATCCGCAGCCGCAGCAGCAACAGTCGCAGTCACAACCCCAGCCACAACAGCAGCAGGGGAGGACAGGTGATCTTCTACTTAATAACATGGTAAACCATGCTCTAATAAGGCGACCGGGTGATTTACAAAATGTTTCGCAGGGATTGGGTGGCTCGTCGTTAGGGCAGAGCAACAGTTTTGGAGGAGGTCAAGGAAGACTGTCTGATAGTTCCACTAACGTGCAAGACTTAATGAATTCTTTGTCTGGAGGTGCTGGACTGTTCGGAGGACCATTAAGTAGTATGCCTTCTATGTTTGGCCCTAGCTCTACGAGTATGGGAGGAATGCTGCCACCCAGTACCCAGCGCATATCTCCTAGTGAAGGTCTTGCTAATAGTACGTTCACTGGAGGTCCAGGAGTGTTGCAAGGCATGGGTCCTTCCTCTCTGTTGCCAGGTCTTGGTGGTTCCTCCAGAGGGGAGAATGATGGTAGTGACAGGTTTACTCGTGATTTCTTGGGGGTAGGAGGAGCTTCAGGGATGACAGCTGTTGGTGGAGGGATGGGACGGACTCTGTCTCAACGAGATTTGGCTAGTATCACATCACTTGGACCAGGTGTAGACCTTGGCGCTTTTTTTAATCAAGGAGAGAATCTGCGATCCGTAAATGCAAGCGGCCGCTCTCCTGGGAAGTCATGGGACGCCACCTAGTTCCTCTGGATGGCTTTGTGAAGCCCTCTTCCTGCCTAGGGTCAATCATAATGCCTAGGAGGCACATGCAATTTTGATTACAGTTAGTCTTTCCTTTTGTAATACATGGCCGTCAGGCAAGTGCCCCTCTGTACATTGTGTTCCCTTCCGTCCTGCTTCCTGTGGAGGGTGTTGCGCATGCCATGATAACTGAGAAGCTCTTCCATTCAGGCTGATGGTGCATTTGAGTTGTAACATAGTCCATCAAGTGTCCCAAGTCTTTTTGGCCATTTCCGTTTGGGCCGGCTTGTGGTGCTTTTGGTTGTTGTCCCATAGTTGGGTTATACTACCATGTAACAATTCTTTTGTCAACAAATTATTCGCTTCTCCTTTTCTTTGTGTCCACCTGAGTGCGTACCCCACCATCTGTGCTGGAAGACAATTTATAGGAGGACCTGATTCTCATTCGCACAGGCCACGGTTCCGCACCTCGAATGCCAACGTCTCCCACCTGAATTCTTCAGTCACCATTCTGTCACAGATCCTGCTATATGATCATTCTCTTACGGACTAGGTCCTTTTGAACCACAAACCGTGTAACAAGCTTCATTAGGGTGAGACATCTGGGAGGCCTTTAAGATGCCGAGATATGTTGTTTCTATTATTACTATTCCCCTCCTGGATGGGGTAGTAGGTTTGCGCGGGGTGGAAAAACAGAACTGTGTGTGCCTTGCTACACATCCTGGGGAAACTGCAACTGCAATACTTAGGTGACGTAAAGGCTGAGGAGAGGCTGGTGCTGCTGCCAGGCCAGGCCAGTCCAGGCCCTTACAGTGCCAGCTTTGTCCTCATATATTATTGCTGTTGCTGCTGCTGCAAAGTACTGTTGTAGCAAATTCGCCACTCCATGCCTGGAAATCATCTCATCGTCTACCATGGCAATGGGAAAACAATGCCCCACTAGACTACAAAAGGGGAGAGGGGGGGGGGGGGGGGAGGAGCAGCTGAAGCCCCATGCACAGAAGTGGTGGTGGTTGTTGTCAGAGGATGTGACTGGAAGGACAACAAAACATTAGTATGGGGAGGAAGGAAAAAAAACGCACAGGGGGAAGGGTTTTATTCTTAAAATAGTACGAACCAGTACACGTAAGCATCAAAAATTCACTGTAGGAGAGGGACTACTGAGCAATTGTGATTGCCCTTTCACATTGTGTGAGTGAGTCAGTAAGTGACAGATGGTCCTTGTTGAGTGCAGATGCTTGAGAGATTTCAACCTTTTTCCCACCACAGACAGCTTGAGCACGGACACTCAAATTCTTTAATTATTACACATATATGTATACGTGTATACTTATATATATATATATATATATATATATTCTGTCTCATGGTTTTACTTGCTTGCAGTATCTGAATTCCAAACATCAAACGGAGTAACTCCGGATTGATTCATTTTATTTTGTTTTGTTTTTTCTCTTACATATTCTCTGTACTTGCAGTTATTTGTAGTTGTGCGTAAATTTTAAATTATGTTTTGATTTGATTCAAATACCTTCCCACAATGCTTCTTGAATATAAATAAGGTTCCTAATAGGGAAAGTCATCATAGTTATGAGAGATGGTAAGTTTAATTGATTGTTTTCCTAAGTGGCTCATTTAAAGTAAATATATACACCCTTTCATTTGTTCATGTATTTCAATATATAGTGATGATATGAATTTGTATTTTTTTTTTTCTTATATTAACTGATGTGATGAAGAGATAAGATTAGAAATAAATACACGAAACTTCAACACATGAATATACATATATAGATATATATATATATATATACATATACATAACTATACATATAAAAATCTAACCATATCTACACAAATACAGATCTAAACATATCAATATATATATACATATCAATACATATCTATAAACATACCTATATATATACATATCTATAAACATACCTATAAAAAACATATTAAAACAAATCTATATATAAATATCTATAACTATATACAATATATATGTATATATATATATATATATATATATACATATCTATCTATCTAGCTATATATAAATATATATATATATATACATTTAAATATCTATAGAAATATATACATATCTATATATACACATATCTATACATATGTATATATATATATATATATATACATATATAAACAAATATATCTATATATATCTATACATATCTATACAAATCTATCTCTCTGAATATATATATGTATAGATATACATCTATAAACATATATATACACACACGTATAGATATCTATGTATATATATATCTATGTATATATATCTATGTGTGAATAAATATACATACATATACATATACATATACATATAAACATACAAACATATATATATACATATATATATATATACATATACACATATATATATATATATATATATACACATAAATATATATATATATATATATACATATATATAATCATACATATATATAATCATACATATATATATATATATATATATATATATATATATATTCATATATATATATATATATATATATTCATATATATATATATATATATATACAT